TATCTTGCTGTTGTAAGTTATCATTCAATATCCATACCAATACATCAATATGCGCTCAACAGTCAACATTTTCTGGCATGATCCTGCTCAGCGTGCTCTTCAGTAGGTATTGCTCCAAGGTCTGCAATATTATAGCTTGTTTTTGGCCAATAAGCTCTTTTGATTTTACTTTTTCTTGCTGATATATGAGCCCATCACCTTGCGTTTATCAACCAAAATTTCATAACTTGTTCAACTTGATATTGATATTGCTCAGGAGTCAGGACCTCTGTCAGCCTCCTGGATACTTCGGATTGTTTTCGGTCAACATGCTTCTTAAATATGATATAAGTCAATATTCAAAACATCCAACAAAACGACGTACAAGAGTACAGAAACCACCAGATAAACTTAAAAAGCGCCTTGGAACAGAGCCAAGTGGTGCTCCATTTGTTTGTTTACAATGATTGTAGTGCTGATGTATTTTTAGGACTCTGAACGTCGGCTTATAAAAAATGAAACGTTTTTACAAAAGTTGTAAGGCAAGTAATATTTATCTGAAAGAACTAAAATATTCAAATGCAAAACACTATGAAATACATGAATCGGAACGAAAAAGTAACCCAAAAATCCAGCCTAATCACCGGCTCCTAAAACTGCAACAAAATCAGCACTTTTCCCCGCAACTCGTTGTCCAGACGTAAATATGCGGTCGTAACACTATAATGACCTTTGCTTATTGTCACAAGTGCGCCGCATTCGCGATTGTTGCCCGACGCCTGTTTGCAGGTGAGCCCACTACAGTTGTTATACATATCTAAAAACCGAAAAACTTTTAGGCGAAAAAGGGACTATTCCAGGCCCATTTTTGATTTTTTTGCGATATTAGGTAAAAACAGAAGCTTCTTATCCTAGGAAAAATAAAATGGGAAATCTTTCAAAGGTGGCACACTACCTTTAAATTTCACGGAACGAATCTGCTGTTTGGGTAGAGGCTACGCGCTCATGAGGCGGAGCCACGCAATGACGTCAGCGCTAAGCTCCGCCCTACCCCTCTGGCGCTCCTTGCCCGGCGACCGGTCACTCGCGTCTCGCGCTCCATCCAGGCTTGATGGTGGGCGGTAGTTGGTAGCGGTAGCGGGCGCTGGTAGATGGCATTTAGGGCAGATGGCGCTGGTGGCGGGGCTCGAGTGTGGCCGAGCGCAAGCCTCTGCCCGGGCCTGAATTGACCTTAGCATTACGAGTGAATGAGAAGTACCTTCCATAATCGTTTGGCGTCAAAATACCTTTGTAATAAAAGTTTCGGCAGGTTCTGAAACATACATTGCCAGAATATTGTCAACGAAAGTTGACGCATTTAAAAATTATCGCAAAAAAGTGGGGTCTCAAGGGGTTTGACGTTCATAGTAGGGTTCCAACGGCAACCAGCCTAGAAAGCATGGCATAAGTGATTCTAGAACTCAGCTGATTCACTCAACATACTCAGGCATGCTGTTCGCATCGGCAGTTCCGTCCGTAGCTGTTCCCGATGTGTAAATACCGTAGTAAAAAGGTTTATTTGTGTTTCTTTTCAAAACGAACGCTAGACGAAAGCATGTATTGACATTTCATACGCGTGAGCGTAAATACAATAATTATTAATCAGCCTACGCTATTTTGCGATCACTGAAATAGACAATCGTTTTCTTCAACAAACATTTCAATCATGCGATCACATTTTTGTGAAAAAAAAAAAATATTGAATCTCACTGGCATGTGTCTTCCAATCTCCAAGTGCCCTCGGCGCTCCTGGTTTGAGTCGGTGACCTTCTGATCATTGACCGGCAGACCGTGGCCGGTGGCCGAGTTCAGCGGCCGAGACCGTCGTCTGTCGGCAGCCGGTCGCGGATGGAAGTCAGCTGGTCGCCCTGCAGCCTCTGCTCGCTGAGCAGCTCGTCCATCAGCCGGTTGGTGAGGTCGAGGCGCGCCTGCATGCTGGCCTGCAGGTCGCGCAGCACCTGGGCCAGCCTCTCCAGGCCGGAGGAGCGCGGCCGGCCCAGCAGGCGCGGCGCCGGCTCGGCGGCGGCCCGGGCCGGGAGCTCCGGCTGGACCCGCTCGGCGTCGGCCAGCAGCGCCATGCTGCAGGCCAGCAGACACACCAGGGGGAGGACGCGCATCTTGTGAGGAGCGAGACGGGACTGGAGCGGCCGGCAGCCCGGCAGCAGCTTATAAGGGACGCCGGAGGGCGCCATCGGCTGAACGCAGATTGTGTGATAAAAAAAATGAAAGGAATAGATGGTATGTATACGCTCTTTGTTGTGGCTAAGCTTAAGGGAAACAAGGAGAGAGAGAGAGAGAGAGAGAGAGAGAGAGAGAGAGAGAGAGAGAGAGAGAGAGAGAGAGAGAGAGAAAGAACAAAAAAGAGAGAGGGAGAGAGAGAGAGTAGGCTGAGAGAGAATAAATAGAGGCGGATAGATGAAGGGAGGGGAGAGATTTATACGTAAAAATGATCGGCCAAATCGCGAGGCATGGAAAGTTCTCTGCTCCTCATAAGTCATAAATCTCGACAATCAAACAAATAGGCAAAAGTCAGCAACCGGCAGTCGAAAACTTCTTACTGTTACCACTTCCAAGCCTAACTTTTGTTTTGGTGGAGAGTTATCGGCTCAAAGCGGATGGTGGCAGACGTCCTACGAACTACGGCATCGCCTCAACTAACCCTTTCAAAAGTAACTGGAATGTGCAAATTTATTGTAAATGGAAAATATCTTCTGCTTTGGACGGCATAATCCTGCAAGAAATGGAGAACCCTTTGGGAATAAGAGGCCCTGGGACTTCAGCCCTGGGACTTAACCCGCGCACCGACGGGGGTCTGCGCCAACTTAGTAGCGACGGGGGGGGGGGGGCGGATGACCGCCCCCCCCCTGAGATCTCGAGAACGAAGCAAGATAGCGACAAGCGGTAAACGGCATCGGATACGCACGGACAAGGTCTACAATTTTTACTAAGGTCATTTTCAGGTCAGGTCAAAGATGACGTCACAGGGGTCGAAAAAGTCAAAATGGCGGCGCTAGATATGGAGAGAGTTTTTCTCGAATAACTTTCGAAGTAGTCTAGATAGGAACAAACTAAGGGCATCATCGTGATCCTCTCGTCAATCCGCATCGAATGATATATATGTTGACCTCGAAAGGTCAAGGTCAAAGGTTGACCTCAGGTCACGTGACCTCGAGGTCATCATGTATATCATTCGATGCGTCTTGACGAGCTGAACACAATGAGACCATCGGCGCGGCTGTATCTTGTTCCTGTAAGGAGTTATTGGCAAAAAACCTTTGGTGACCTTTGATGACGTCACATGACCTTACAGCTGCCCAACAGCAAAACAGACCTCAAGGTAGTGAAGGTTGATCGTATGTGAAGTCATGTATGGTATATGGGGCCATTCCGACCCGTTTTAGTGGTAAAAACAGGGAGTTGATTTTCCCCCATTGACTTATAATGGGGAGGTCGCGAAATTGACCTGACCTTAGGTCATCGACATCAAAATTCCGAGATATACAAATTGTAGCTACTAATGACCTAATAACATCCTGCGACTTTCAAAGGCCTCCGACATCTACTGTAGCTCTGGCACGGTGACAAAGTTGCAAAAAAGTGACTTGAGGTTGGGTCATTCAAAGTGACCTGGTGACCTGACCTTAAAAGTTAGGAGGTTCAAACTTACACACCATGTGTAAAATTGATGAGAGAATAGTCATACCAAATTTCGCGGCGCTACGCGCCGCGGTTTTCCCGCTATCCGCGAAAAACCTCAGGGGGGGGGGGCGGATATCCGCCCCCCCGTCGGTGCGCGGGTTAAAATATAGGTATTTCAATGACTTATAATGACCCGGCCATAGTTAACTTATAAAAACGATATACAAATTTAAGCCCTGTATGAATATGTTTCGTTTCATAAGTTTTGAAACATGTTAGTCATAAATGTTACCACGGCAAGATGCTAAACCTCCGTAATATGAGGTTAGGTCACTTAACGTGACTTGGTGGCTTGACTTTTTCAGATGTGGGTACAAATTTGTTCATGCATTTACGCAATAAATATCGAGGCAGGTGACAAATTTGACTGAGGTGTGCGTCATCGGTTTACACAATCTTTGAATTGCACGGGTAAAATACTATGCTTTTATTGGTGTTATTGATGCTTCAGAATGAGCATTAACAATAGGGAAAAGACAATTGGTACTTGTTGCAGTTGTGGCTTGCGTCCGCCCACAGTTCGTTGGCAATACCGACAGACTTCATCGAAGACGCTGAGCAACTTCTGCTGATTGACTCAACAGTAACGCACATTGCTATTCACACATACCTTGGTGACTGATTTCCAAAGTACACGACTCTCGGCGCAATCAGCGTTGACAATGGTATGTATGTATAGTACGCTGCACATCATACTTGGTTCCCGACGCACGACGCACAAATACAGGCTCGTTTGCCAAATCAGCCGTGACTTTCGATAATAAATCCAGCCAGGGGTTCAGCTGTGTGCCAGTGGTGATGATAATGTTACCCTCTCGTCTACGCGGGCAGCAGCGCGGCGTGGGAACCCGAGCCGCTGCCTCCGGAGGGCCGGGCGGGTGGTACCTGATCTGATCAGTCACCTCTGTCACCGGTCCGATGGCCCGATAGGACCGCCGACCGGGACTGTTTACCACAAACACCCTGCCAGTGTGATCGCAGCCTCTCGGACCCAGCCCCTCTACTCATTAATATTTTCCTAGTCAATAGTACCCGTCCAAAGGAGACATTCTCCTGTCAATTATGCATCGAATATCGTCTGCGCCTCACCATACCTATCGGGCTAAAATGAGCACCGGTTGTCGCTCACTGTACTGTGCCCGCGCAGTATCCATCGCTCACCTATGAGTGGCGGCTGACATTATAGTGAATTGCAGTGTTTCATCATCATCGACGGTATACCTGATGTGTCCGGATCTGGCTGATGCCCTGTCACATCGCAGCAGTTTAATTTAAAACGCAGCACTATTTCATAATGTATTATCGGCGTACCGGAACGCAGTTGGGGTCAGCGAGGTCAAAAATATATTCCAGAACGACATACAATATTTATATCAGTTCTCTGTTCTATGCACTTATATAATAGGAATTGCTGGAATTTCACCAGAAAGCCATCATTGACTTTGCACGGCATCATTGCTCCGTATGTCATGCACCATCAAGCAACTTGCGCACCTACCCTTGAAGAAGAACACATTTCATGACGAGCTCTAAAGTCTCAGCTCCCATCGACACGACTGCATTAGGGAAATTGAGAAACACAATGGCAGACAGATAGGCCCGGTGGCAGGCACGACAAAAACACGTCGTACAACTACCCCTTCCCTGCGACTGGTAACAACAGATACTCATATTTCATCAATTACATCGTATCATTCCATATGCAAGTAAATAATTAGATAGGGATAGAACGTTTGAAACGGTTAGCGATGTTGCCAATTTTACAAACATTCCCACCGCAGCACCCTAATCAATATAATGTCCACAGGCTTAGCACAAAATAGCGCAATCGCGATAAGTGCGGTCAATCACATGGAAGCAAAAACGGCATTACTTAGACATAAAATACGTAACAATATACTCTGACATAAAGTACACCTAAATAATTGGCAATGAATGTGCGTATGTTTTCTATCGATGTTCATTTATTCACCTATAACCAATCACATACATTATAACATCACAATCCACACAAACGACTGCTTGTGTATCACTATTGGACAAAGACAGAAACCCATTCGTTCTCCCTCCTGCTTCACAGTAATTTTCTGCCTGTTCCTTCTCAGAATGTTATAAATGCTTCTTGGCCTGGGACCCTTTACCGCTCAGCAACAGTTGAAAGACATGCTTCAGCCTTTCCGCCATTGCATTTGCAACACTCCTCCATTGGGTCTACCGAGTCTCAATGAATCTAGTCAATGGATCCCTTTTAGCATTCCTTTGGATCTGCTTCAACCGTAGCCTTTCTCACTGGATTTGCTCGAGCCGCAGTGTTCTGTCTTCGAGTTCGAGTCTGCTTCAGCGGCAGTGTTCCGTTACTGGATCTGCACCAGCGGCGGCGTTCCGTTATTGGATCTGCTCCAGCTGCTGGAGGACGGCGGCCATCAGGGGCCGGCGCCGCTTCTCCTCTGTGCAGCGCACGGCCAGCTGGTACAGGGCGTCCGCCTGGCCCGGCGGGATCGGCCCGGCCCGGCTGTCCAGCGTCTCGTGCAGGCTCTGCTCGTCCACGTGATCCTCCACGTGCGACAGCTGCCGGCACGGGGCGCCGCTCCGTCAGTCGCCGGTGCACGGGTCACGTCATGAGGGGGCCTCGCCTGTCCGTACTCTCACTGGTCGACTAGGTACGCCAAACACCCCGGCAGTTATCATCCTCAAACACTAATCCTCAAACTAAATCCCTTCCTGCCCAGCTCCTACCAACTGTGTACTCACCGGGCCGCGCCCCTCCCGCGCCGTGGTCTAACCATAAGCCGACAGTTCAGTCGGCCCCCACCCTTACTCAGAGGCCAGTTTTACCAACAGAAAAATAGCAGCCCGGCGCAATTTTTCTGTCAAAAACCAGCCGACGAGTTTCACCAACCAGGCGAAAAAATATCCGCCGGCGTGAAAAAATATCAGCCAGAAAAATAGCCAATGAGTTTCACCAACGGCAAATGCGGCATTAATGGAGTGTTATTTTGCGCCATTATTTGTAGAAAAACAGCCCAAAAAATAGACGGGGGACCCCGTCTATTTTTTTGATGTCGTGTTGGAACAATTGGCCTCATTTGTTCCTAATTATCGTGATTTGCGCTTCCCAGTTGATATAATAATTTAGTATCATTCATGGCCAATTTGTAAAGCATCTGGGCTTCAAGATTAGAAGAGGAATACTGATGATATTGCGTAAAGAAAGAGCCTTTGTCACCAGGCAAGACCAAAAGGAACCAACAAGACTGGTGTTTGGTGTTGTGGTGTTAGTTTTTTCGTTTATATTATCTTCTTGCTACAAAAGCACCCAACAGCAAGATGATAGCACATTATTAACTAGTGGTCAGCTTACAAGTTCATTGCTCGTGCGAGTCGCACGGAAGTGGAAAATAATGATGGAAGATCATTTTCGAAAATTGAAGGTGCTTGAACAATTGCTGGAAGGAGAGGCAGAGAGGGTAGGCTCATTGGACTCAAGATTTTAAATAAATATGTCACTGTTTTCACATATTCAGCTATATTTGACAATGCAAGGCGCCAACTACTGATACCACTACTACTTTTGGGTGGAACTTACTTGAGCTGTGCGGAATAGGGAAGGTGCAATTGACATGGCTAAGACCAAAATGGCAAGATTTTCAAGATCAATGACAGTAAATTTAAAAAAAGAAATTGAATAGCATGAAAGAAATGTATAAAGGCTTGTTTTTGAAGCCAAACGTGCAAAGTTTGCATGGTTGCGAACCCGAACAAACTTGCTGTCATAAGATTGTGCCACTGAGCTCAGCAAGTCATGCTGCCAATATTGAAGGAAAAGAAAATAATAGTAATGTTGTAAAATGTAAATGAATCCATAACTGTTGTGTGTGCACTGTGCTGATATTGAATGCTTGTGTATCTTGCATGCATGAGTCATGCAGGGATCATGTCAAAACTGGCTGTAAGTATTGTGAGTTAGTTTTGCAAAATTGTGGAGGCACCAGGCAAATTGCGGCCAAAATGTTATTTGTTCACCTCAGCGCTGAAATTTCTGCTCACAGAGTTTTCAGATCATGCGCCGAAATGTTCATGCAGCCAATCCGTTACACTGGTCATGTTGACAGTGACAAGGATTTTTTCCCAGTCTCATGTTGAAATACAATAATAATTCACTTAGCTTGATTTTAGCTTATGTTTTTCATGCCAGTTCCTAGAATAAAGCAGCCAATATTTTCTGTCATGTGAGAAATATAATAACAATATGCACAATTGCAGGCTGTGGCATGTTGTAAGGTTTTCCTTGTTTATTGCTGAGGTTTTTCCAGTCTCTGCTGCAAAAACGGTGATGAATCCACCATCGTCCGACGGTTTCGATGACGCCAATCATCGGCGAGTGTTGCTGTGATGGCCGACCTGACTGAGCGCACAGCGGCAGCCGCCGTCGCCAATAACAACAGTGAGGACACCTCCGAGTCGGACGGAGACGCCGCCGCTGACGACTTCACCGTGCTGGACGAGGTGGAGCGCTCGAGCCGACAGACCGTGCACCGCGTGCGCTGCCCGACTGGCTGGCGCACCTGCAGCCGATTGGCGACCGGCGGCCGGCGCCGGCCAATCTGCCGGCGCTCTGCCCCGAGCTGCGCGCCCGGCTGGCCGCCGAGGGCATCGAACAGGTGTTCCTGGTGCAGGTGACCGTGCTGCCCGAGCTGCTGGCGGCCGCAGAGTCGCCACTGCCACCGGCCGACCTCTGAGTCTCGGCGCCGGCCGGCCGCTCGGTGCCCGCCGTGTTCCGCCAGTACGACGCCGACACGCCGCTCTGCGTCCAGCTGCTGGGTGGAGACACAGTGGCACGAGGGGGCGCCAACTGGTGGCGGTGGGGCCGCGCGGCCCGGCCTCCCTGGCTGATCGTGGTGAGCACTCCCGGCTGGCTGATGGATCACATAACCAGCGCCGAGGGCTTCTCGCTACCGCACCTGCGCTACTTGGTGATCGACGAAGCCGACCGGGTGATCGAGATGGCCGAGACGGGCTGGCTGAAAGCGGTGGAGCGGGTGGCGGCGGCCACGGCCCGCCGCCCTGCATCGCCGGCCGGCTGACGGCCGCCGCCGTCTGCGCGCCTCACCTGCCGCTTCAGAAGCTGCCATTCTTGGCCACCCTGTCACAGAACCCGGAGGCCGGAGAAGCTGGAGCGAATGTCGCTGTTCCAGCCGCGACTGCTGGTGGTCGGCACGGCGGCCGCCGCCGTCGCACTGCCCGGTCAGTTCGTCGGCAGGTTCACCACGCCGGCCGAGCTGAGCGAGTCGTTCAACGTGGTGGTGCCGCAGCCGCTGAAGCCGCTGCTGCTGCACCATTTGCTCCGACAGCCCGACTGGCGACGCTCGCTCGTGTTGGTCAACTGGAACGAGGTGGCGCACCAGCTGGAGCTACCGCTGTCTGTGCTGGGCGCGCGCGTGACTGAGTTCTGTGGGGTAGTGCCGGCGTGCCGGCGGCGGCGCGCGCTAGCTGAGATGGCCGCGCTGGTGTGCTCGAGGCTATAGCGCGCGGTATTGACGTGGACGCCGTGGACGCGGTCGTGTCGTACGACATCCCGGCGCTTTTGAAGACGTACACTGCGTGCGTCGGACGGCGCGCATCCGCCGGGCCGGCCAGGCGGTCAAGCTAATGTTGGAGCGGCAGCGCAGCAATTTCCAGCGGCTGATGGTGCAGGCGGACAAGGCGGGCGGCCGGGTGCGGGAGACGCTGGCGCTGCTGGACGAGCTACGAGCTGCGCCAGTACGAGGCGACCTACGTCAGTGGATTTCCACACTAGCTTCTAGTGGATCGCTGTTGTTTTTTATGCTCATTGCTCATGATTTATTTACATTTTAGAAATATTGCAATGAAATAGATGTATGCCTTGTCATCAGCCTAGAAAAGTTAAAGTAAGTAAAGCGTTTTAGTTGCATAATGTATGTTTGTTCATGAACACGGATTTAACATGTCCTAACTCCCAAACATTTCGATATTAGACCCGAGTTACAAACCAATCGAAAGGCTTAGACGATCATTTGGGGCGTAGCCAGACGGCTCGGCTGGGTGTGAAAGCCGGCGACCAAGGTGGTGACCACCCGATCATAATGCACAGCGGTCTCCGTCGGACGATTGTGTCCGCGCGCAACGAATGATCTGGGCACACGCAGAGGAGTTCGGCAGGACTCTCCACTGAGCGGTACTGGGCGCAGTCGAACGACGGTCGACGACGCTAGCGCAGGTATTGTTAATTTGTTACGACTTACGAGCCGGACCAGTGTAGCGGGCCTGGAGCAAATATTCTTTGCTGTGTGGCGTTCCTTCTGCTCGACCGGGCCCGGCAAACGGGGCCTGCATATCGGCTAAAACCACCTAGCCGGGCAGTCTGACCTCCACCTCGCCGAAGCGGAGCGAACGACGTACCCTCAGCCCTGCAATGACCGCGGTGCAGCAGTTAATCTGGGTAGGTATTTTCCTAAGGTAAGACACTCGCCTTTGCACAATGCTTTACGTATATAGGCCTTGGCGAGTTCGTTAGCCCTCTTACTCCCGCTAGAAGGTGCTAATACAGTGCACGCGAAGCCGCCTCGTAGCACCGCAGTTCAACTTCAATCGCTCGGCAGCGGAACTGTCCGTCGTCCGTCCAGCTTCAGGTGGCGTCTCTGGGAGCAATGCTGACCGCTTATTTGCCGCTCTTTTGAAAGCTAGGAAAGAGGTGCGGCTCCCGGATCTGTCGGGAGCGGGACTCATAGGCGGCGGAACGGGTAGGGCACCGGGGCACCGTGCCCCCCTTTGATTTTGACATTTTAATATTAGCCCTATGGGCGTTGCATGGAAAGAATGGGACCAAAAGTCGGCAGTGCCCCCTTAATTGAAGGTGTTCCGCTGCCACTGGAGTGGGTCTCATCTAGTCCCCACCTCATAGCTGGAGGTCCACACATTGCGTTCTCGGTCTACACGATGATTTTCTACAAGGTGCGACTAAAAACAGACAAAAAGGTACATAACAAGTTGAAGGTATTGTAAAAGTTAATATAATAGGCTGACAGGAAAAAAGATCCATCTTAAATTTGCCCTAAATGCAAGCTTCCTTACGTCACCTTTATGAATGACGTGCCTACGTTTACAATTTGGTAGTTTTGTATTGTATTGGCTTTTGCTGGGCACCAGAATGTTAATAGATATGAAAGTTTATAATGCTCTACTTTGTTGTTATTACTCATGAAAATAATGCAATAATTTACGATTATAATATTTCGAAATGTATATAGCATTTGCATTAGAAATCACGCTTCAATTTGATTGAAAACATGGTTTAAATGATTTCTTAATCTCCTTGACATATCGTAATTTGATATCGTAACAGAATATCAGCTGACTACCGGCGACAAATAATTTCCGTCCGAAGTCGGCTGGAATTTTTTGTTGGTGAAACTCGTTGCTGTGTGGCGTCTGTTTTTTTCGGCTGGATATTTTATTTCGGCGGCCGGCTGGTATTTTTTGGTAAAACTGGCCTCAGTACTCACCAGGTCGAACCCCTCCCTGGTCTCATCGTACGGCGGTAGTCCAGTCAGTAGCTCCAGTAGAACCTGCCGAACACAAACTCTCAGCTTACACCACACACACACGGCCGGCTCGCAGAAGCTTGGCTGGGGCCCGAGCAAGCCGCTGCTTTCAGTTCGTTCCTAATATAGGGTTATTTCGGTAAGATGTAATAAATAACTTATTTCAGAAACCTCAAGATGGGTGAAATTTACACAAAGCACATAGCGTTTGCTGATTTAAGAGCGTGTGTATGTGCACACATCATTAACCCTCGCACGACCAGGCCATTTCTCATAACACGAACGACCAGGGGGGGGGGGTTGTTACGACCCCCCCCCCCCTGGCGTTTCGAAACGGAAGGTCGTAGAGCTTAGCGGAAAAAACCAACGGATTGCTCTCAACGAGATCTCGCGATTGGTGGTATATTTTTTGGTCCTAGGTCAACATTTGACCTACTTTTGACCGGTCAAAGGTCAAATTTTCGGAAAAATAGACTTTTTTCAACTTTCGGCGGCGATTGCGGCAAAACGGTGGGAGATATCGACTTGAAACCTTCACTATCGTGTTCCTTGATCAATTCTCTATCGTTTGGTATGTATTTCGTTTCCCTAGCTCTAAAAATGGCGCGTTGGGAGCGCCGGAAGTCGGCAAGGTCACAGTCGGCGGCAGAAATTCGAAAAATCAAAATTTAAATTTTTGAAATCTGATTGTATTTTTGGATTTGGGAGGTCCATTTGCTCCCTATAGAAGCTAATATTGCTGCATATTCCCATTGAGGTGACAAGAATTAGCAAAATAGTGGTTCGGGCGCTTTTCAAAAATAGTACCGGACGCTGTTCCTCTTGTGACGTCATAGCTCCGTGACCTGACCTGACCCGGTCAAATTTCTTATACCATATGGTAGCCAATACTTGCCCCAACATGCATGGGAAGTTTCATCACGATCCATCAACCGATGTCCGTACCACCGGCAGGAAACCTCGGGCGTTGGCACTCAGTTTGTGAAAATCCGGCCGGAGGCTGTACCTCTTATGACGTCATAACTCCGTGACCTGACATGACCCGATCAATTTTTTTCGGCAAAAGATGCGCAAAGGTTGCCCCAGAGGGTATTGAAAATTTCAGCCCGCTACGACAAGCCGTTTAGCGTGCACTTCGAAAAAACCTCAGGGGGGGGTTGATACAACCCCCCCCCAGGCGTTCTAGGGTTAAGATTCAATGTACCAGTTAAAAATTGTATGAATTTTGTCCTACCAAATGCATGAAACTTTAAACAAAGAGATTTCATTAGCATGTGTTGAAGGAACTCATGTCATAATGCGTGACAGAAGAATTACGCATGAGAGCCGTCAGACATGTCAAGAACCTTCATGGCGCCGCGAGTCGGGTTCAGTGGCACAGACAGGTCGAGGACGACCCAAGGACAGATCAGCGGCGCTGTCACACACTCAGTGTCCTAGGATTGGAAAATTTGGGTGCAAAGCAGCACCCAAGTCACCATGAATTTTCCACTCTTTTTTAGCTTATTTGAGGATAATTTTCCACTCCCTAAAAAACTTTTGTCAATACATCAGCACTTAAAATAAGAAAAGAACATGTGTAAATATAGACAAAAGTGCATCCCATGTTGACATGTCTCTTGAAAACTTGATCCTCAGGGCAATCCTTACCTACTGCACTCCATCCCAGCCAAAGGCCATCCTTCAAGTCCAAGATCGTCATCATGTCAACTATGAATGGAGGGAAAACTACTGATGGAAGCTGTGCTGTTCTAAAATCACTGTTCCTGTGATGTGTGTTGTAGAGAACAAATTTTTATATAACCATAAATTTGTGCTTGCTTATTTTTTTGGCTATGACAGCCTATTGATATCAGGCTGTCAGAAATAGCCTGTACCTGTTGACAGACATTTAACCTGTAAGTGTATTTGGAGCTAAATAAATCCATGTTAGGGTGAAAAAATGAGGCAATATTGTCATTGTAATGATATAGGTATATGAGCCGTGGAATGTGGTTGCACTCAGTTGCACTCACCTGCCTTTCTACTGAACAGATAAAAAAGAACTAGAATGACATGTTCCTCAATCCTCAGCAACCTACACCAATAGAAAACACATAATCTAGCATTCACATACATAAAAGCAATCAAAACTATTAAACATTCATCAGATCAGCAACTTTGGATCGCATACACTGACACTGCTCAACAACCAAACGCTGCATATTTTACAGTCACAAGGGATTGTTTATATGCATTTGCCAGCTGTTGTTTGAGTGTCAAAGATTTTGATTGCCATATGAAGTTTTCCCTTACATATGGGTCATTCAACGAAGGTTACCTCTACTATTTAAAAAAGAATCACAGAAGAGAAGCTGCTGCTAAATTCTATAGTTCCGAGTGGTTTATTCACAAAAACAACAATATCTCTTGAATTTCATCAGGAATCCAAAAGTTTGACTTATTCGCTCATGCAGATTACTATCTTCTATATCCCTGTCAAGCTTGAAAAGAATCTATTGTGTAGTTTGCATTTGCGGAAGGGAAGTGTGGTAATTGCTGTTAACACATGCAGCAAAATTGCAGGCACTTGGCGTGTTTGTGCTGAATTCAAATAGACATTGATGACCATCATCAGAAACGGCAAACCGTTTTCTATTATTTTGAGGGTTAATACTTCGAAATATTGTTGATATATACAAGAAATACGCCCGGATACCAAACACCGCAAAAAGACACCCAGGAGTGGAAAATCCACCAGCTTCAAACAACAAATTTTTTCGTAAGAAGATCACTTGAATGTGAGAGAACGCATTTTTTTCTATCTGTTAGAGTGATTTGGTTGCCTTCCGTGACTTATTTTTTGCGAAAAACACAAGAACACGATCGCCACGGTCGGAGCGGCTTACCGGAGAGGGAGGGAGGGAAGAATGACCTTGAGTAACGCAAACATACAATTCTTGCGCATTTGTGTCGATTGAAGTTGGTGTGAAATCGCAAGCCGGCTTCAACAGATAAGTCGTAAAATCAGTTCCCTGCCTTGATATCTTTATAATTCTGAGTGTAAGCTTGTGTTATTTCATCTTTTAAAATTATTATCAGTCTTCGATAGTAGGGTCAGTTGTTCCGGCAATATGAGACAGAGGTATTTGATAGGCATTTCAATTTGATTGTCTTTGTACAATAGGTAGGTACCTACCAGTTCCCACAGCTAGCAGCTACCTAATAGGAATTACCTTTTTTGTATTTAGTATGAATTTTATGTAGCTCAGCATTGGCACATCACTTGGAACTCTCTAGCCCCCTTTGCAGGGTAAATGCCCTTTGGCCTTGTGTAGATGAAAAACAAATTGCTGAGAAATGCAGGTTTTTCATTTTTAATAGCATCGTCACCAATATTAGGTGCTATAGCCATACTACTAAGTTAAACCTTACATTGTCTACTCCTCAAGGTTTTTAGTTGGTTACGAAGAGCAAAGTTATTGGTGACAGCAATCATAGCTTCAGGCGTCAATTGTTGTCGGCTGTGCCCGTAGGTGGCAGTTATGAAGCTCTATGTTATGCCTAATTTTCCACTCATTTTGCTCGTTTTTGGTCTGATTTTTCCACTCGACACCCTAGCTCAAAACCAATTCTAGGACACTGCACACACTGCAGCTGCATCGAAAACCGGCCGTCAATCGACGGCCAAAATGTCAACAATGAGAAACGGACAGTGTTTGGTGACAGAGTGTCGGTATCAGTGAGCAATGAAACGGATACGAGAGAGGCACGGATGAAAGGCAAGGGTCACTCAGTTGAAATTCATCGTGTTTCATTTGGGGATAAGAATAGCTAACGATTGGCAGCATGTGTGTGACACAATGTAGGATCTTTATTATATATGTGCAAGTGTAAATATACATACCTAGGTTGAACGTTCATTGTGACATGTATGACTAGATAAGTGAAACTTTTTTTAAATATAAAGGTACTGTATTATAGAAAGCCTTCGCAAACGCGTTTCGAATATATCATCTTCAGTGCTAGCTTCCCATAATACAAAAAGAAAATTTGGAAACCACAGTACCTACTTAACAGCATGTCACTTGGTGCTTCTTTATTTGGTGTACTTATCCATGGGTCAGGTCAAATGAGGTCAACTGAGGTCAAATGACGGTTGGACCAATAACTTGTCACATAATAAAGATACAGCTTTCAAAATGGTATCATTCTGTTCCTCTTGAAGAGCCGAGGTGAATGATATGCAACATTAAGCATTTCGACCATTCTTAAGACTTAAGTTGTACTTAAGATGTGCTTAACTTTTTAAGTACAACTAAGCAAGCAAAAGAGTATATCATTCGACGCGCCTTGACGTGCTGATTTCACTGGTGCTTTTCGTTTTGCTCCATCTTAATTAGATCAAAAGTTATAAGCGAAAAACTTTTGACCTGTTTTTAGCGAAATGTTTACCCCCCAAAAAACCCCTAAATATTGACCTAGAGCAACCAAATTTATACAGGGGTGAGAACTACAGGGGACCCACCTAACTACCAAATTTGGTGTTTCTAGCTGCCATAGGAGCCATTCGCAAGTGGGGGGGGGGGTTGCATCAATCCCCCCCCCCCCCCCCCCCCCCCCGCTGCCAGGCCGTGTTATGAAAAATGCCCTGCCAGAGCGAGTTAAACCTTACCGATAGCCACGTTCCCTACATTATTAGGCAATTATCCAGCCTCCAAGCTCCAAAGGGTGTTTACCTAAATTGTTTATCCAAGCAACACGCACAGTCATCTCTGTTTACTCAACCGAAAATCCCGACAGGTCTACTTTCAGCCACGGCTGAACCTTCCATGACTGAGAATTCATCAGCGATTTCCCTGCGGCTGAGAGTTCCCCGTAGAAGAGTTACATCGAGCAGTATTGTCAGAAATCAACCACGCTCAATTCCAGGAGAAACTATGAAGTTTCACTTCAAACGATTCAATAACCGTACAAATACCGTACAAATTAGTTAATTCACAGATATCCTTGCATTTGAAAAGCTGTTTACTCATGGCAAAAGA